TGAGCGCAGACTGTTTGCAAGGGGGTTGCACTGCAGAATAGTGAAGACGGAGACATACAGACAAACGGATATAGCTGCTTCCACTGTTGTCATGTGATCAGATTGGTGGTTACAGATGAGGAAGTTGCATTGTCCTCCTGTCTAGGAAGAGGATGTACTAGTTAAAGTTGTGTGTTGCAGATGTGGAGTTGCATTGCTGTGATGCCAAAGATGTGTGTCATTGTTGAGAAAAGAACATGCGACAAACCCTCACACAAACAATTGAGCTTTTTACATCAGCATGTTTAAAGCTTGCTTTTTCCTTTTTTTTTTTTTTTGGGCATATGCATTATCATATGCACTGGGTCTAAACCTGTTTCAGAAGAGATTTAGACCCAGTGTCACACTGGTTCCTTTTATGCCTGGTAGTACTGCGACAGTGAATGATGAGCTAGCATTGCCATCTCCCTGACATCCATGTGACAGAGGCCACCTCATTGGGGGTGAATGTCTACCAGTACAGTTCATGTCATGCAGTGCACCGCTATGTCACAGATGACCACCCTCACTACTTCTGGTGGGTGCTGTGTATCGGTGGAGCTGGCAGGAGGGCCTAAGAGTCTTCTTCCAAGCAAATCTGTTTCACACAGATAACTTTACATGCCTACCAGGCAGTGAATGTACACACAAAAAATGTATTTACACAGACGCACATGCGTGTGTACACCTGTCTCTGCCCATCAGAAACTGAGTGCTATAATGTACGTGAAGTCTTGAAGTGATTTGCGGCATTACTGCTGCTCAAACAAAACTTCTAAACCGAAGGTTTACTGACAAGCATGTATGTTGAACTTTCATCTGTTCTCGTGGTGTCAGGTAGGGGGCTCATTACGCTGTCTCCGCTTTGTGCACGTACTGTCCTAACTGTGGGCTGGCATGGTCTAAAGCTTGGGGCTGTCGGTCAGCCAAAACCTGACCACAAAGCAAAGCACCAGCTGGGGCCCAGCTCACGAAAACAAGACGCAGTGCTCTGTGTTGTGGAGACTTTCTGACCGCACTGTGAAAGATTTAGGCAACTTGCATTTGTGTTGAACAGGCTGTTGGTTTCATTCCCATCTGATATTAGAATGATTACATGTACTCTTAAACTGAGCCTCCTCTGTGCTTTGATTATTTCGATTGTATGCTAAGCATGTCTGCAAGCACTAATGTGCTGAAGCAAGGAAGTCTGGTTCTCTTGAAGGCTTTTGATAAATAACACTGTGCATGTGTATTCTCTGGAGACCAGTGTGCATGTGTGGATAACTGATGTAGAAGGTGATTGGTGAGCCTTATAGTTTAAAACAGACAAATGACTCATCATGGTAATTCTGA